AATACAGTACCGATAACTAGTAATATAATACTACAACAAGTAATATAACAACTGTAACAACAAAATTACGTATATATATATTTATATACATTTAGTTTAATTATGTGGCAATATTATTATTGAGTATTTGATTGTATAAAATATTTATATGCTTTTATATTTAACTTTGTCGATTTCATATACAGGATCTTTTAATATGCACTATCTAATGTAATGCAAATGACCGAATTCGCTATTTTATTCATATATAAATAAATATAATTACAGATGCCACCAGCGAATCAGCAACCTGCTCTAGACCAACCATTTCCTTTGCCAACCAGTAGGCAGGTTTCGTCGATACCTAAAGCAACTGGAGAGGAAGGAGAATTTTGGGTATATCCCTCTCAACAAATGTTCTGGAATGCTATGTTGAGGAAAGGGTGGCGATGGAAAAGCGATGATATCTCCCAGAAAGATATGGACGACATAATAAAAATTCACAATGCCAATAACGAACAGGCATGGCAAGAGGTTCTTAAATGGGAAGCCCTTCACGCACGAGAGTGTGGCAATCCCAAACTGCGTAGTTTTGGAGGGAAAGCGGCCAAATATTCCCCACGTGCACGTATTCGCTATTGGATGGGGTACGTTGATCTTTATAATCTCGATTCTAAAAATTTTCACCTGCTGATCTATTCAAATATATTTATGTATGTGTGTGTATGTATATATACAGGATGTCCCAAAAAGGGGCACCTAAATATCTCGGGAAATATAAGTTTTACAGAAAAGTGTTTCAGACAAAAATTATATAGTTTAAAAATATCTATTTACTGATCCTATCAGTTTGACCTTGGGCTGCGTAGCCAAGGTCAGGTCAAGGTTACATTGATTTTCTGAAATGGAACACCCTATTTTTGATTCAAGAATCTAATAGCTGATGTCGATAGCTTTCCAAAACGCTATAATGAAATATTTTTTTATGAAGTGCTTTTCAAGTTATGATGCTTCAAAGTTACAGTATCGCCGGCACTAGCATTACCCAAGATATGTAATACCACGCGTTATGTTTTTGTTTGTGCGTTAACTGAAGGTCAAGATTCACGGACAATCGACCGATCTCGCCTTGACTGGCCAGTCTCCAAAATTAAATATTTTGGGTAATGCTAATGTCGGCGATACTGTAACTTTGAAGCATTATAACTTGAAAAGTACTTCATAAAAAAATATTTCATTATAGCGTTTTGGAAAGCTCTCGACATCAACTATTAGATTCTTGAATCAAAAATAGGGTGTTCCATTTCAAAAAATCAATGTAACCTTGACCTGACCTTGGCTACGCAACCCAAGGTCAAACTGATAGGATCAGTAAATAGATATTTTTAAACCATATAACTTTTGTCTGAAACACTTCTGTAAAACTTATATTTCCCGAGATATTTAGATGTCCCGACCTTTTTGGGACACTCTGTATATTGTATATGTGTGTGTGATCATATCATTTTGATCGATATGATTAAAAAGTTCTAAAAAATTTTTACAGAAAAAATACCTTATATTAACAAATGAAGTCATTAAATATTAGAGAAATTTTTTTTAATAAAATGTTGACAAAAAAGTTATATTTTGAATCATATAGATCAAACGGGGTGATCCCGATTGACCACACACACACACACGTCTCGATTGGACACCACCAATCACAGCGACCGGTGCTTAGGAGCTTTGTAGTCTCAAGCGCTGTGAGTGGCTCGTGTCCAATTGAGCCGTATCCAACTGGGTGCCACCCGATCAAACAAGCCAGCAAAGTTAAGTAGCTACATGTTCTTTACAATGCTATATTAAATATACTTTCAGGTACGAGTTACCATTTGATCGACATGATTGGATCGTAGATCGTTGTGGAAAAGACGTAAAATACATTATCGACTATTACGATGGTGGGAAAGTTAACGAGAAGTATACGTTTGCGTTACTCGATGTGAGACCTGCAATGGATTCGTGGGATAATATCTGGGATCGGATGAAAGTAGCATGGTGGCGTTGGAAATACCAATCCAACAATGAACCAGTGTCTACTGTCACAGTGCATTAATTTAGAAATTAGTGCCAATAAAAAATATGTTAGTCCGAAAAATTTTTACTAAATTGATAATTAATGCCTTATAATAATTACGCAACACATTATTTATTGCGTGGTGAAACAAAAATCACGATACATGTAATTTATGTACATATTAGTTATATACGTAAGTATCATAAATACAAGTTTACAATACTTATATTTAGTTATTTAGTTTCCAAAATAACATCAAATTAAAGCGAATTCAAAAGTATATATTCGTACTTGATAATAAATTTTATATATATTTACAAATATATGTGTACATATACCTTTTTCGTCCATTATACATAAATCTATTATCTGCAGTGTTAAGTAATCACTGGAAATGATTTTATAAAGCTACAAATAATTTGAACTTACTACCAAATATATATAATACATCGAATATTCTCTACTTAAGTCTTAATACTAAGTATTCAAAGATTAGGTAAAATAATTGTGTGTATATATATATATATATATACATATATTGTGTGTATATATATATATATATATACATATATATATCTTATATTTACAATTGATACATTTACAGTTTTGCTTTTTCAAATTGTTATATGCAAATATTTTGTTTTAATTTAAGTTTTAGTGTTCGATTCGAATAATAACACGTAAACCGTGTGATCTGGTAGTTAGGCAAACTTAAATTGTACATAAATATTTACATTTTCATAATTATATATCCCTTTCTTTGATTATTCATGTAGAATACTTTTCACGTAGAAAAGGGAAAATACCAAACATCTAATTTTAATCAGAATTTTGAAATATTCCCCGAATTTATCGACAATTTTTCGATATCAAAACATTTTTTAATTGTTCAGAACAAGCTTGCGCATTTCAAGGTATAGATATTCGCAACACTCATAATATCACATCGCTTTGCCAATTATTCGCGCAATATACTTTCGATCGGACAAATATTATGAAATACACGTTTTAAATTAACACAAATTTCGCTTACCAATATAACGACGCTACTTGATCTGGAGCCAAGAACGAAGACTTTTAACTTTTCAGGATGTGGAATACCTCAATATTTCAATAAATTTTTGTATGAAAAAGTATTGAACTATTCATATTTTAACTATACATATTATTCAACTGCATGTTTTAAATTAGGAAGTAAATAATTTAATAAATATTCACATTGTACATTATATAATTTTTTATTGTCAATATACATATAGCTCCATGTAGTTTTCACAATATTTATAGTTATCAGCAGAATATGTAATAACTTTGTACATCTTATAGATTAAAATTTACATAACTTCGTTAATAGATTGAGGACCGTTTAATTTTAGGAAATTAACAATTATGCTACAAAAATTCAAATATTGTTGAAGCTAAACAAGCAATTATAAAAAGTTAGCATTAAGATAAAAAATAAAGCTTAAATACAAGAATAATACGTGATGCTATTCTCTCCTAGTAAAACTTAATCAAAATTATTCATTTCAATGAGTTTCAATATGCAAAATTTTTTTAAATAACAATATTTATTTTTCACACATCTAGAAGTTCTTTAACTATTTACATTTTCATATGTAATCAGTATTCCTTAAATATAATTTAAAAAAAAAATATATATATATATATATATGACTATATTAGATAGTACAGAACCAAAGAATTGCACTTCATTTTCTGAGTAAGAATATATGTAATATATTAAATGTTGCTTATTAAAAATAATCTATTTTTATAAAGTGTCATTCATATATATTAAAGGCAGTTATTGGGAGCTATATTTTTCATTGACATGATGTAAATTAATTGATAAACATTTTTCCTAATAAAATATCCAACAGTAAAAAATATATATATATTTCATATACTTATAGAAATTTATAATCAATAGATTATCTGTAAGCCAAAGTTGTTTTTCTATTTTTCTGCAATTGTATGCATATATTAATACTGATATATACATCATACTAACATGTGTGTGTGTGCATAATGATACCATTGAATTTACAATAATCTAAAATTTTTATAAGATATGATAAGCTAGACATTTTTATCATAATATGTTTAACATTAAACACAATTGTAATTTTATAACTGACGAATTCGTTCGATTCTCATTGTTTTAGTATTTTAATAAAAGGCAGTTGCTATGAAATATACCGACATTTACAATTTTGATAACATTTACTTTTTTGAACACTGTATTGATTTTATTATATTTATTTTAATATTTGTTTAGAGTTTGTTAAATATACAACGATTAATATTAGATAATAATCTAATATTAGATAATAGTCTAATATTAGATATTACACTAAATTTTATACCTAAATAGAGCTTTAACTAAATTCTGATAGTTGGGTAAATAGAATGTCATATATATACTGTTGGCACATTAAATTATTTCAGAGAAATTAATTTTAACATTATTCAAAGATATTAATTATAACAATAAAGAGACAAGCAATATCGTTAAATTTAGTTTCTTTTATATGTATATATAAATAATAAGCAACAATAATAAAAGCAGCAATGTAATGTAGAAACAGTAATAATAAAATATTCCATTTATAATATACAATATCAAATAACAGAGAGTAACATCAAATATCATTGGATGACATGAACATATACAGCATGTCTTGCTTCTACCTGAGCACTTTCGTCTAATAAATAAAAATTGTAGAGAAGCATTGATTAATGTGCAAGGAAACGACTGAGAGATACACTGACGGTAATTAATAAAAAAAATTGAAGTGTGCTTTATTTATATATATATAAATATATATAACATATTTCTCTAAAAATTTCAGTATCTGTCACATATGTATCATAAAACTATACTTGTTTATAATTTTGATTATGACATTCTCTTTAATTTTATGTGATATTAATTTCAAAACATATAGTTTTATCTTGTTATATAATTTTTTTTCTAGCTTATGATCAATTTATAGTTTATACCAAATTCTTGTGTTAATTTTAAATCTGTAATGAAATCTATAACCTTTATATTATTACAATATATCGCACAAGAATATCTCATGTTGTTAAATCTGATTATGTGGTAAATAACGATGACAATTGCCAGAACCACAAAGACAAGAAGTATCACTGAGATAATGGACGGAATTAACCATTGCACCACCAGCATAGTCAAAAGTCACTTCCTCTCTGTTCTCTATATCTTTAGATGCAAACAAGCATAATCGAGGCACGATTCCCTCTACTCTAATCGGGATAAGGATAGAGTTCGGGTCACAGCTATGATTAGCATAGCGTCCAATATTACCAAAATATTTCGGATCTATACAAGTTACAATAACACGATCTCCAGCATGTTCTGATACTACAAGAACGTAATTCATCATGTTACCCTGCTTATTAGCCTCAATTCTGCATCGCGCTTCCTGCAGACTTATCACTTCGCCAGCGTATTCGCAAATAAATTGACCTTTTTTTATTAACTTATTCGTGAAAAGACCGAGACCTTTATTGGCAACTTCTCTGACAATTAAACAATTTAACGGACCATTCTGTACTAATCTATTTCCACAATCTGGTCTACATTTACAATGAGCATGGCATTCAAATACCGGACCGATTAATTTCTCATCGACAATTCGAGCATTAGAATAATTAGCAGAACCGCGTGTACACGAGCAATTAAAACATTCAGCTACACACGAACAGCCTACAGCGTATTCTGCTTCAAAGTCTGCTATATCTATCCCAGGCCCTGGTATATTATTTATTATGTACATAACGTCCGCTACAATATGTTCGTACTCGTCGGCAGAAGCATTCGCTTCCATGCTTACCGTAATTATATATCAATAAAAATATCCAAAAAAGTCCGAGAGACTCTTTGAAATAAAGGCAGCACGAGATAAAGAGGAAAAATTGTTTTTTTTTAATTAAGAAAGGAACTTTTCTTAAATAAATAAGACCCTATCGTACGACACCAACCTGTAGAAGTCCCTGAACCGATGACTTAAAAGATTGGAACGTGATAGCAGCGGGTATCGCTACAACTCTGTAACCTATGTAAATTACAACACCAACTACGGATGCCTTAACGGTTTGCTTCAAAATTTTACCCGACAACGATGGTGGTGGTATTCTGCAAAAGACTGTCTAGTAAATTAATATGTAATGGGATACATTATGCTTTAATATAATATATAAAGGATTCCTAAATTTTATTTAATTTAAACTTTATCTCCTATAAATCAAATAAATCAAGAAATATAACAAGAAAATATGATAACAAGAAAGAATACGCAAAATGTAGTTCTACAGATACCTTTAGAAATATCTCATATAATAGCAATTATATTATACAATATTTTTTACTTACCTCATGATAGGTGGTATATCGGAAGGCTTGACTTTACCCCAATTTTCAATGATGCCGGGTGTATGTCCTAAACCGACGATTCCTACGACACGTGCTGGTTCATAAGAATGATTAAAAACACAATGAGGCAGACATGACAACTGTAGAGAATTAGTCAAGTAAATATCTCTCTCTTTCACAAACACTTCTCCCAACACTGGAAACTTCTCCTTCATGTTGGCAATTATTTCGTCCAACATCGATCGTTGCTTACAAAGTTCGACGTCCTCTTGAGTAATAGAATCTTTCATTACTGCCAGTTTCCATCCTAGTTTTATAGTCTGCCACCAAGACAATGATCGTATCGCACGTTGCATTGTTATGTTAATTGGTCGATCGGCCAGATGAATAATACAGTTTGGCACTTTCTTTGCCTAAGTTACATAATAATGAATTCATATAAATTTTATAATACAGATAATGGGTGTTTTCCAGCAAGAGATACAGATGACATAGTGAATCGTTTCATTGAATATTTTCCATTTAGGCTGCGTTCCACTTAATGCTTATAAAGTTCGTGGAATCATTTCATCTTTGTCGTTGATCAAATGTTAAACAAGGACAAATGACGCTCGCGGGCGTTGCAAGCGTTAAGTGGAACGCAGCCTTAGTGACAAATCGACACAAGCTCAAGATAGAGTGACATTTGTGTCTACTTATGTTACTAAATAGAAAGCACCTTCTAACATTGGCAAACAACAAAGATGTTATGATTCACTGTGCTACACTGTATCAATTGCGTCTCGCTAAAAAACGTCTAATATCTCAGATTTGGTGCATACTGACCTCCTCAAATGCCCTTCGAAATTCCCCTCCAGGTGGCATACCAAGTTCCTTGGCGACATGAGCTGCCATTCTTAACAATAAAATGTGTAATAAGCCATCATACAGTCCTTCCCTTTTAATGGTATCCATAATAGTTTCTATAAATAAATTAAGTAGTACAATATGCCAACACAATAGCTGATGTATTATACAAATACAGAAACTCTGTCTCACTGTAATCAATGTTCTTAGCATAGCCAAACAAAACTTCCTCATCAAGTTGTAGTATACCAACTCTGGCTCTGCACAATTCAACTGCAACTATGTGAGGCTGCACAGCTTGTATAATCTTTAATAAAGTAAAAAATATTATTTTAAATATTATATATATTAAATTTTTACAATAAATTCATACTTAAAATTAAAAAGCAATATTTTATTTTCAAAGAATAAAGAAAAATATATAGTTACTTTTGACACATCATTTTGACTTTCAACACTGAAATGTGCCGTTCCTACTAAGTACAACTTTCCTCCATCAGGTGTGGTTAATAATGTAACAGTTTCTGGCAATCTCTCATCAATAGTAGGATCGTACTCCCTTAGTTCGCTTACCGTGTTGCCTATGTTACTTCCCTTATTCTGGATATTGGAATCTGCATTAGACCCAATATTTTCTGTATTATAAATACATGGCCAATATATACCTAAATAGTAGGTTAAATTAATCTCAAAAACTACAACAATGTACCTTGAGACCTTAAAATTTTTCTTCTACTTCTATATTGTTTTTGTGTTACTGAAATTTTTTTGAAAGCACTGCTCTACACACAATAGCTTAAGTTATGATAGCAACAATGGCTGATATTTTATTATTAGATTAAAAAGATTTTGTATAAGTGGGAAACCTTACAATATTAGCTGCATCAAAGTGTCCCTCATAACTAAAGATACACATGTCAAGTGAGTTTCTAACAACAGCTAATATAACAAAAGTGTCTGCAGAAATCTTAAAATGTTTTTTATTGCTGCATTGAATTGTACTTTCTTAAAATTTTTTTTTTCGCTTTTGTTAAACTTCAAACATATATCTACTTCACTTTCATGAGTAACACTTAAAGAATGTAAGTGTATGCTAGTTCAGCTAAAAGACAAATCTTTAATTTCTTTCACATGTTTATGGTAAATGTTTAAAGTACATATAACTCGATAATTACCTTCATCAATAAGAATCATTTCACTGTCAGAAGATTCAGTGCTTTTCACCTTGTTATCATCATCACGATTGTCATCCGTGCTTACTATTGATAACGTACACGAAGACTGTGTTGCTGACTGAGAATCTGATCGTGTCATTCCACGTCCAGATTCTTTGGCAATTAATTCTTTTGTAACATTTTGTGCATTTCGCTTCGATGTATCATGATCCCCCCTTTCGTCAATTAAGTTATAGTGCTTGTCCTTTATGGACGTTAATAGATCGTTCTCCTTTTGATCACCACCAACATGCTTATCAGCTTTAGTAGAAATGGATGCCATTTCTTTTCCTGAAAATCCATATATTCTTATAACATAATCATCTTTGTTTTTAAAAACTTTCTAAAATATGTCTGTTACAACTACATATTAATAGACTAAATAGACCATTGGAGCAAACTCTTGCGCTCGAATAACATATAAAAAGATACTAATTTAATTACGTTATAGATTTTTATACTTCTAAAATAAAGAATATTCCCGAGTTCTCTTAAAAACCGAATTTTCTTACCGTTATATGCGTCTTCTTAGGCGGCAGATGTGAATTGTTGCATGCTTTTAACCTCGTGGAGAACTGACACGTTTGCAAAAAAAGATTCTCGCATCGCTATAACAAAAGAATTGTGTAATTTATCTTCAATCAAGTTAGTCGTCGTCATATTAATCTTGTAAACTTACGCGGCGGACGGAAATTTGGAGAAAAATATAACGTATGGAAAAATAAGCATCAAGACCAAATCAGACCAAATAGATCAAGTCATCTAGTAGAAGCACCTGTATAGATACACTGGTATTCAGTGGCTGCGTTCAGCAGAATACAACAAGGGCTCTATTCTTGAAAAGAAACGTATACGAAAGTCTAGGGAAATACTATATAGTATACGTAACATATACTGTAGCATTTCTCTAGACTTTCGTATACGTACTTTTTTCTTTTCAAGAATAGAGCCCCTGGGGTGCGTTCCAAAACGCAACTTTGGTAACTGAAATCTATAGCTAACGTAACGTAAACTATAGCTTTTTCGTAACCAAAGTTACGTTTTGGAACGCACCCCTGAGTGGAATTATAGGTAAAATGGCTCCTGCACACTGGACGCGGAAACGCTTGCCGCACAAAATGTGATGCGGTAACCAATAAGCTTACAGCTCCTAAAGGCCCGTCTACAATACACGGTGTAAGAAGTAAGAGTAAGAAATTGACCAATCACAGTCGAATGTGAGAAGAATAATCGACTGTGATTGGTCAATTTCTTACTCTTACTTCTTACTCAGTGTATTGTAGACAACGCCTTACAGACGGGGTGATTCCGATTGACCACGTCTCGATTGGCCACCACCAATCACAGCGACCGGTGCTTAGGAGCTTTGTAGTCTCAAAACCACGTCTCATTTTGAAGCGCGGCAAGCGTTTCCGTGTCCAGTGTGTAGAAGCCAATAATGGATGCATTCAGTACTACAACCGCTCACTAAGCACTCAGTGAGCTCTTGCATCTGATTAGCATATTCCGTTAGATCTAAAAATATAGACCAAACAGATAC